TATAATAGCTTTTCTGTTCTAAAACAAGACTGTTTAAACAAGCAGGCTTCAGGGTCTCCATGAATGTTGAAAAATTCTATGAAAATTTATGTAGTGGTGGTTTAGTCACTAAATTATGTCTGACTCTTGTGACCCCATGGACTATAGCCTGCAGGCTCCACTGTCCAGGCAAGAATACTGGAGTAGCTTGCCATTTCCTTTTTCAGGGGATCTTCCTGACCCAGGAATCAAACCCAGGTCTCCTGCATTGCAGGCAGATTCTTTACCAATTGAACTGGCAAAGGTAAATTTATACATGTATTTAATTAAGTACTTTCCCCCCTTTGGAAGGAATCCAACATTTCATCAGTCTCTTATAGAGTTTCATCATCCCAAAAGGTTAAGGACCAGGGTTCTAGGCTCCACCAGAATTTTATAGATTTATCCATTTAATGACAAAAAACTAGCAAAATAGAAAATTTTGATATGTTTTGCAAAACATGTTATTCTGGCCATGCATTGCAGAGTAGAATTTTCCATTATTAAATTTAAGTCCATGATATTCCTCCATGCTGATGACAAATCTCAGTTTTAAATGTCAGAGTTGATTCAGCTATGCAGGGATTTGTGCTCAAGAGCAAGGCAAATACATGTGAAGATAAAACAAGACTAAGAAGGACAGGGACAATTATCGGGTATTTAGAGTGGAAAGAAACAAAGAATGAGCTCCAGCTCTTGAGGCCAACAGTCAGCTATGTCTAGTCTCCTCAAAACACATATGCCCAATAAGAGACTTTTCAACCAGAACCAGACAGAGGCCCTGATGCTCAGACAAAAAGATTCTCTACTCCATAAAATCAAAACTGTCTTTCCCCTGGATGGTACCCATGAAAGGATCCTGTGTCCACTCACCACAATTACGTCTCTGTATTGCACAGGAAGCCAGCGGAAACTGTATTCAGTATGAACATTATTAAGTCTGGATTTGGGAATGTGTGTACTCCCAACTATTTCAAGAAATTAGTTTAGGAAAAAAAATACTATAAATTTTGATATGTAATGTAAAAACTTGATAAATTCACTTCTAAACATTAAAATCTAAATGACCATCTGTTCAGTGTGTGTATTTTATTTAGGGAATGCTGGAAAAGTACACTAATAATTTAGGGTAATAATCTATAAAAACCTATCTATTAACAATAATCATACCATCACAGATTCTTAAAATATTTAGTAATTCCCACTACCCACAACTCCTCAATACACATATACAAACAAATGCACTTTATAGTGTTTCCCAGTGATGTTGACTTGTTTTTTAAGTGTTCTCCAAGTTGAACCAATTGTTGGAAGGGAAAGGAGAGCAGAAAATCTATTCCCCTGCCTGTTTTAAATGATGACTCATCAGCCCTGCCTTTGTCAAACATACAGACGTGGACCCAAATTCTGGACATGTGCAAGGAACAGTTACTCTTTTCTCCTCAAGTCTGTTTTCTCATCTATAAAAGTGAGATAATAAAGCTGGGCCAGGTATTTTTCCATTGGTACTCAGTGCCATCCAGACCTAGCTGTAGTCTCCCATGTATTGCCAAGACGAGACACCTGAAAATTACATCTTCCTAGGCTTCTTCACCACTTAGGTGCTCAGGTGAGACTTGAAGGTGGGAGTGAGGCTTCCACAGCATCAGACCTTCTCCAGCAAGAGCAGCAAGAGTCCTTCCTACAGTGGTGGTGCCTCCAGAGGTGTCAGCGCCAGGCACAGGCTCCCAGGGCCAGCTCAAAGGCAGAAACAGCTCTGAATCTTTGGGTGACTTCCCCATCTCTCCGGCTACTCCTGCAGCCCAGGGGCAGCACAGCATCCAGGCCACAGACTCTTGGTCTTTTTGTTCCTTCAGTCCTGCTCACACCTGTGCACTGATCCCTGCCTTAATCCTTCTCTGCTGGAAAGGCCTAGAGACTGAGGGATACATTACATCAACTTCTGTAGGGTATCATAAGGTTGAAATAGCTAATACATAGCTAGTAAACTGCTCGGTACTTGGAACATGGTACATGCCAGCTAATTTTTCATTATTCTGTCTAATCATCATGGGTTATGATCTGGCTCTCCCTTCTCAGTCCTGCTGGGTGAAGATGATGACCTTTCTTTTCTTAACTTTCAAAGGATTTTGGTGAAGTGGACCTGGCTTGAGAAAGTTACTGATGAAGACTCCAGGAAACTGACAGAAGCAGAAGGAATCAAGCAGGGATGGACCAGCAAGTGAGTACGAACAAGGGCAGAGAAAAGAGATGCACCTCTGCTTTCTAAATCCAGTGCATACAAAAAGAATCTTGATGGTTATCTGAAAACATGTCTGGAACGTCTCATAATCTGGTATTGTCATTGTTGTTCAGTTGCTAAGTTGTGTCCGACTCTTCATGATCCCATGGACCGCAACACGCTAGGCTCCTCTGTCCTCCACTATCTCCTGGAGCCTACTTGAATTCATGGCCATGTAGTTGGTGATGCTATCTATTCATCTCATAATTACAAGTTACTTATAAAATACCATTCATGTAGGCACCAAAGTAAAACATAGTCCCCATCAGATAGAAATAAAAATGAATTTCACTAGTAAGTGATTTCTAGGTCTTCCTCTCTTGGACCTGTCATATTGCCCAGCCTGCTTTGCAGAGAGGGTTCAAAACCACTGTACAGGAATTTCTCTTTTCTTGATTAAGCACAAACACACACGTACATTCACATGGGACAATCTGACCTGCTGGGTAACATGTAACAAGACTCACTTCCTCCATTCTTGAAAGGGGTTTTACTCAAGTTTAAGCAACAATACCAGTCTTGAGAGCCAGTAACTCAGCCTCACCTAAGAGATATCTCTCTAAACATGATCTTGTCTTCCCAGTTCAGTTCAGTCACTCAGATGTGTCTGACTCTTTGCGACTCCATGGACTGCAGCATGCCAGGCTTCCCTGTCCATCAGCAACTCCCAGAGCTTGCTCAAACCCACATCCATTAAATTGGTGATGGCATCCAACAATCTCATCCTCTGTCATCCCCTTCTCCTCCTGCCTTCAATCCTTCCCAGTATCAGGTCTTTTCCAAGGAGTCAGTTCTTCGCATCAGGTAGCCAAAGTATTGTCATTTCGGCTTCAACATCAGTCCTACCAATGAATATTCAGGCTTGACTTCCTTTAGGATGAACTGGTTGGATTTCTTTGCAGTCCAAGGGACTCTCGAAGGTCTTCTCCAACACCACAGTTCAAAAGCATCAATTCTTCAGTGCTCAGCTTCCTTTATAGTCCAACTTTGATATCCATACATGATTACTGGAAAAACCATAGCTTTGATTAGATGGACGTTTGTTGGCAAAGCAGTGTCTCCAACATTAAATGATTAAATATTAAATGCTTTTTAGTATGCTATCTAGGTTGGTCACAGCTTTTCTTCCAAGGAGCAAGCATCTTTTAATTTCACGGCTGCAGTCACCATCTGCAGTGATTTTGGAGCTCAAAAAAATAAAGTCTCTCACTGTCTCCACTGTTTCCCCATCTATTTGCCATGAAGTGATGGGACTGGATGCCATGATTTTAGTTTTCTGAATGTTGAGCTTTCAGCCAACTTTTTCACTCTCCTCTTTCACTTTCATCAAAAGGCACTTTAGTTCTTCTTCACTTTCTGCCATAAAGGTGGTATTATCTGCGTATCTGAGGTTATTGATATTTCTCCTGGCAATCTTGATTCCAGCTTGTGCTTCATGCAGCCCAGTGTTTCTCATGATATACTCTGCATGTAAGTTAAAAGAGCAAGGTGACAAGATACAGCCTTGACATGAACTCCTTTTCGTATTTGGAACCAGTCTGTTGTTCCATGTCCAGTTCTAACTGTTACTTCTTGACCTGCATACAGATTTCTCAGGAGGCAGGTCAGGTGGTCTGGTATTCCCATTTCTTGAAAAATTTTCCACAGTCTGTTGTGATCCACATAGTCAAGGCTTTGGCATAGTCAATAAAGCAGAAACAGATGTTTTTCTGAAACTGTTTTGCTTTTTCGATGATCCAGTGGATGTTGGCAATTTGATCGCTGGTTCTTCTGCCTTTTCTAAATCCAGCTTGAACATCTGGAAGTTCACGGTTCATGTACTGTTGAAGCCTGGCTTGGAGAATTTTGAGCATTACTTCGCTAGCATGTGCTGGTGCTGCTGAGTCACTTCAGTCGTGTCCGACTCTGTGCGACCCGATAGACGGCAGCCCACCAGGCTCCTCCATCCATGGGATTTTCCAGGCAAGAGTACTAGAGTGGGGTGCCATTGCCTTCTCCATGCTAGCATGTGAGATGAGTGCAATTGTGCAGTAGTTTGAACATCTTTGACATTGCCCTTCTTTGGGACTGGAATGAAAACTGACTTCCAGTCCTGTGGCCACTGTTGAGTTTTCCAAATTTGTGGGCATGTTGAGTGCAGTACTTTCACAGAATCATCTTTTAGGATTTGAATTAGCTCAACTGGAATTCCATCACCTCCACTAGCTTTGTTTGTAGTGATGCTTCCTAAGGCCCAGTTGACTTTGCATTCTAGGATGTCTGGCTCTTGGTAGGTGATCACACCACTGTGACTATCTGGGTCATGAAGATCTTATCTTCTCAGGTTAAAACATTTAAATATTTTACATATTAATGTATATTGCTAATCCAATATATACTATATATACATATTATACATACTATATAATATATGTATTTTCAAAATATTATATATATTTTTAAAGATTTAGTCTTAACTACAATACAGAGAGTAAGTGCCCATCAATATTTTATGAAATCATCCTCTGAAACTCTGGCTTTTTAAGAGAAATGCTTCAGGACCTCTCAAAAAACCAAAAAACAACAACAAAAAAAACCCCATAAGCTCTCTGCTATTGTGAAGGGACAAACAGTCATGGCACTATGAGAATAACCTGGTTAAACTGTGACTGGGATCCGGAACTGCTGCTGAAAATTTAAAACCGACGGCTGTTCCGCTTACCTCCTCCTGGTGGGCTGCACAGAGTCAGTGTCGCTCCCACACGAGGGGTTTCGGCGGCGTGTGTGAGGGAACTTGGGGGATTTCATGCGGTCGCTGGGGGAGTTATAGAGTCCGCTGGAGTGGAAGAGGAATGGTCAAGGGTGTCCGCAGAAGGCCTCGAGGAGCGATAGCCTAAGCTGGGCCGAGGGACGTGCTCACAACTGCACATTCTCTACGCTCAGGGGAATACTGGGTCTTAGGCACATAGTTCTCTTTCCTGACAAGATTTATTGAAAGAAGATCTAGTAAAATAGATCATGAAAGTCTTCACTTTGCAGAAATGGGCTTGTCTCACTGGACTTCGAAAGAAATGAGCACACACAAATGATGGCAATAGTAACAACGATCTGCATTTGCGATGAATCTATACATGCTAGCTGAGGGCTTTATACTCATTATCTCATTTTATCTCCAGGTCAACCCTAGTCACTGAAGGACAGTTATTAGACGCACTTAACAGAAAAGAAAACAGAAATACTGAATCTTTAGTTAAGGAGCCAAGTACCCAGGAAAGAGGCAGAGTTAGAATCTGAACCATCGTGTGGTCAGACCTGGAACCATCATTCAACTTATCAATAAATTATGAAGCAGCTCTGTCCCTGGTATGGTAATTGTGAACAAAATTAACTAAATATTTATTTATTTCTAGGAATAAAGGTCCACGAAAAGCACTATTCATCAATGGTAGTTTTCAACTTAAGTTTTAACAAGAATGATGCAATTGGGGAAATTATCATTAGTATGTCATTTCAAGTATCCAAATGACCACCTAATCATCCTCACCACCTCTCATACAGTTTCTTAGTATATGCAAGTTTTCCTTTCTGTCTTTCCAGGAGAAAGTTTCACGTTAGGACACATCCTGTTGACTTCTACTTCAGAAGTTCTCAGTCACGCTGATTTAGGAATCTGACTGCCTTGTCCATAGTTAGTCATCACCAGCCACAAAGCAAATTCCATTGTTTAACAAGTTGCAACTGCCAACCACATTTATACTGTTCTCCTTTATAAAAGCAAGGATTCTCTTTACCTCTGGGGGCCGTTTTCTTCCCACGGTGCATGAGATTTGCTTCTTTGGGTATCAGGGCTGTTTTCATTCTTTGCTTTCTTAAAGCTTTAATTTAAAAAAATAAACAAAAAAAGAGTGGAAAATAAATTAACTAGAAAATAAAAGAAAATTAACTCACATACTTATTTCTTCAGTAAAATCATTTAACAAATGTTTTAAAATGTGTGTTTTTATTCATACCTGTGACTCATTCCAGGGAAAAATGTAAAGTGACTGCCTAAAAAATAATAATAATAATAAACTTTCCAGCTGTACCTTGGGGGTCTCTTTGCCCCTTCTTTCTTCCTAGTTTTACTGCTGTAAGTCAACTACATGCCAAGTCATCAATTGTTAAAAGCAGCTTTCTAGAGTCCACCTGCAGTATGGGAAGGGGCTTCCCTGATGCCTTGGTTGGTAAAGCAGCCACCTGCAACGCAGGAGACCCCAGTTCAATTCCTGGGTTGGGAAGATCTGCTGGAGAAGGGGTAGGCTACCCACTCCAGTATTCTTGGGCTTCCCTTGTGGCTCAGCTGGTAAAGAATCCACCTGCAATGAGGGAGACCTGGGTTCGAACCCTGGGTTGGGAGGATCCCCTGGAGAAGGGAAAGGCTACGCACACCAGTATTTTGGCCTGGAGAATTCTGGCAGGATAAGAAATAGGGGGAACCAGCAAGCCAAAAACACAAGGCTGACAAGAAAGGAAAGTTGAGTATTCTGGCTTGTGTGGCTGGCTCCCTCTTTCAGCAGTGGTCAGAGACCGCTGGCTTTGGATCTGGGTCTGAATTTGTGCAGGCCGGTCAGCTCTCGGCAGGTTCAAGCCACCCGAACTGACCTTCTCTGCCCCCAGCTTCCGCAGTATCTTTGCTTCATCCTTCCAAATCAGAATGACTTTCAAATCTTATTTCCTGACCTAGTATCATCTTTCTGTCCTAAGAATGTAAATATAACTGAGTTGTTATTCAACCTCGACAAACTGTTTGAGAAACACTGGGAGACACAAGGCAGGGGCTCATCAAAAGCCTCCCGTCCCCAGGGGAGGCGAGAGGGTGTGTCACCTCTCACTTCCCTGGGAGCCTCCACTTCAGAGGAAGACAGAGCCCCTTAACTCCCAATCCACGTTTAACCCCAGGTCATTGAGGAATCGTCTATTTAATTGTCCTGGAATATAGTCACAGAGTTCTTTGTAACAGCAAAGAAAGAGGAGAGAAAAAATGACAAGGTCATTTAAAAAAATGGAAATAAACTTGTGCCCTAGTATATGATATTCATCTAGGGAGTTATAAAGCCTAAAAAATTAGATATTTGACAAATGCATGTTAAAGAGCACAAGTATTGATAGATGGTAGGTATATTTTATTTATGTAATTCTTAAAAAGATTTAAAAACATTTGGAAGATCAAATTTTTAAAGTAAAACTTTAATTTTGAAAGGAGGAAAAGTAATAAATATGGTATGTAGAAAGCTACAGTAGAAAGTTTGAGCATGTTTAATAAATCAGAGAGAAAAGAGAAAAGGGAGATTGAGCAGTGCAGTAGGGAGATGAAAGAGGAACTGAGAGAGCAGCAGCAGAAGAATGAAATCTCAGGGGGGCAAATTAATTGAATGCTGTCTCTGAGCTACTTCTCATCTGGAGCTTGAGTGGGAAAATTTGGCAGTCCTTCAGGTATCAGTCCTATCGGCAAGAATGCAGTTGTGGAGTGGACTGAACTCCTTCCATACGCTCTAAAAAGGCTTGGGATCTGAATTTCATGCAAGATGGCCGTTATTACGTCAGACTTACCATAAGCATACCCTGTCCATACAGATTCAGCTGACCCTCTAGCCACAGCTATGAGGCTAAGAGAAGCACAGTAAATGAAAGTGCAAGCAATGCTAGTATAAAATAGCGAGTAGCAAGCTGCTATGTAACACAGGGAGCCCAGTCCAGGGCTCTGTGCTGGCCTAGCGGGATGGGATGGCAGGGAGCGGGAGGAAGGCCCACAGGGGAGAGGGTATACTTATGGCTGGTTCTTGCTGTTGTACTGCAGAAACAACACAACATTGTAAAGGAGTTACCAGCCAATTAAAACAAGAGTGCAAAAAGAGAAAAGAGGAAGAAAGTGTGCGTGAAAGCAAAGAACTTCTCATTCCAAAACGAGAATCTGTACAGGATGAATCTGTACAAAAGAAAATGAAGGCAAAACCTTGGGGAAAACATTGCAACTCTGAGAAATTTCATAACTTGAATTATTTTGCTGAGAAATCATACACTATATTTCTCCAAGCAGCAACACTCTAATTGAATGAAAACACCATTATTTACTAACAAAAGATGGAGTAGATGATCTAAGAAGTTTCTCAAGGTCACATAATTCCGACTGCTTGGACTTCTCCACAATGCATATGGAGTACTCTCTATAGCGAAACTGTGCTCTCTATAGAGAGCTCACTGTATGTGCAACATCCTGTTTCATGAACATAATTGGAGATGGGAAAAAGTGACGCCAAAACAGTGTCTGAAGAGAGAACAAGGCTGATCTTTCAGGGAAACAATCCACATGATACATTAAGAGAAGGTCCTTCCGCTGGGGGATGCTGCAGGGAAAACTGATGCAAAGGACCATAACTCTTCATACATAGGCAATCACTGCCTTCTGAAACCCTGCACCTCTAAACGCTATAAACCCTCTTTCCAGGGCCACAGTTCAGTGCACTGCTATAATGAACGCAGTACATAAACATGAATACTATCTACTTTACTTCCCAGGTCCCTCTGAGTTAGTCCATTATATCATACCATTTAAAAAATCACATGGGATTTTTGCTGTGTTGTGGAGAAGGCAGACCACAGACTATCTATAACTTCATCGTGCTATGACAGCAGGAGCATTTCCTTCAAATGAGAGGGACATGCCCTGATTCTTTACATTTTACTGGCATTTTAAAGCATTCTTTGGCCCACAGATTATTTTCATTAAAAGTACTAGTTAATTACCAGAGTGCTTCTTAACCTTGACAAAAGATAAAAAGCATTTCTGTGACAGCAGATAGCAGTGTGTCCTTTCAGTTAACTGACTGACCTTTTTATTGGTGAAGGTGCGAAAATTTTAGTTGTTCCTTCATTTTCTCCATTTTCCATATTTGCAGTTACCCGATTTATGCTGTTTGATCCTAATAGCAAAGTAGAAGAAAGAAAGAGAGTGGAGAAGAAAAAAAAAAGGAGGCAGTGGTCAGAAAAACACAAAAGAAACAGAAAAAAATTTTTTTAATGTAAACTTAGGGACATCATGGCACATTATATTGGTAAAATATAATTCTAAATATATAATGAACTGCTCAATAAATCTGAGATAATATTTCCTGAAATGTACTAAACCCTGAACATAACAATGTCCAAGAGGTCTAGGTTATGGCACCATTTTAAAATAGGACGTTTTGAGACTTCAGTGTTTACAAAGTTCCCACGTCACGGATATTCTTTAAACCGTTAAATAAGAATCTAAGATATTTAGTACTATTATACTGGAATGTAAGCCATTCCAATCGGTTTTGACAACTATGTTGTGAAAAAATTACTGCTTCTTGGCACGCCATTGACAACCCTCATTCTCAATCAAACCTACCCCAAATATTTCAGACCTGAAAATACACCAACTCATAATGCAAATGGCAAAAACAGACTCATATAGATGTGATTTGTATCACTCACATTTTTAAAAAAAACATTTTCAAATGTGTTTTTTAATGTAAACATCCCTAAAAGGCTAAAAGTAACTTTTTAAAAAGCTGTTATTCCTCAGATTTGCACACATGCTAGATGGACCAGCAGAGGGCACCCGCAGTAGACACGACGACAGAAGCTGTGATCAAATCTAGCAGAGCAGCCAAGCCCATCCAGGAAATCTGGATCCCAGTCTTGGGAGAGAGGCTGATGAGCCTGCTGCGGGGGTGAGAGGCACAGGCACTGATGACGCGCCTCTCCTCTGGTGGCGCGCCCCCGCCTCTGGGAGGACGGATGCCTGCAGTCCTTGTTCAGCTGTGTGGCAGGCAGCCGGGTCTTCCTCAGAAAGCCACCTTGTATGTCCACGGGTCAAGTCCTTCAATCCCAAGTACAATCACTGCTAACAGTTTTCAAGTTCTAAGATAAGTCTGTGCTACCAATAAGAGCTGATACTTACTGAGCACTTACTACGTGGTGGTGCTGTCCCAAGTGAAAAGCGCTCCGTGTGTCCGGTTCTTTTGCGATCCCATGGACCCTCTGTCCATGGCATTCTCCAGTCAAGAATACTGGAGTGGGTCGCCATTCCCTTCTCCAGGGATCAAACCCAGTCTCCTGCATTGCAGGCAGAGTCTTTACCGCCTGAGCCACCAAGCTTTCCTGAGCACTTCTGGTCTATCTACTCAGAAAATCCTCAAAATAATCCTCTACTATACTAAGATTTCCCACTTTAAAGACAAGAAAAACAGGAGTTTGCCAAGGTCCCACAGCTCATGAGCAAGGGCCCAGCTTTAAAACCCACCAGTCTGGCTCCTGAGAATTAGCTCAAAACCACCACAATGCACAGCCTTCCATGGCCACCTGTGCCTCATCCTCACGAGCCAGTCTAAATTAAGGGTGCACTGGGAGAAACAGACTCTTTGGAAGGTAAGTGAAAAGAATGCCCAATGAGGAAAACATTTAATCGTCAACTAAGAGAAGAACTCTCTGTCAAGGGCAACCAACCTTGAGAGATAACAAGAGAAACGCGTGAGCACCCTGAAGTTGGCAATTCTCTCCAGGACACTGGGAGGCAGCTTTGGCTACTCATCAGGAGTGATAACCATTAATGAATACACCTTAGACACAGAGAGCAAACAGGGGTTTCAAATAAGCGCTCCATAAACTATTATTACGAGCAGTTTGACATGGATTCAATACCTGAATTTTGTTCCAGTTTGGGAATCCTGAAGTGAAAAGGTGAACCTCAAGATACGTGGCATTAAATCTAAGCTCACATGGGAGCAACATTCAGAATTCAGGCATTAGAGAAGAGTATGGTCGGATGAACGGGACACAACCAACTCCCCCTGAACAACTCCCAATGCTATCAGACACTGGAGTGGCCAGTCACTGTCTATTTTGCCCCCTTAAAAAAAATCACAAAGGCATATTCCCAAAATTGCAGGCACAGATTTACGGAGCTGCTTCTCAAAAGTGGGAACTCTGTGTGATATGGCCCTGAGACAGTGACAAGAGGGATTAATTCATTTGTGCCCCAGACAGCTGATGTGTCCCCATATCAATATCTTTTTATAGTTTTAAATACGTGTTTTTTAAATGCAGCATTGTTCTAAGCTGGTATTACTAATTTATAATATAAGGGAAATTCACACACCCAGGGCTGTTTCCCAGGCGGGGGGAAGATGGGGGCACAGCAGGGAAACCAGTCCAAATGCCACTGGCAATAACAGCAGCGGAAGAAGCCGCGAGTGAAAGCAGGCTTCACTTAAACTGAAGTCCTGTGCAGCTAGCTGGTGAATAAACCTGGGTTTGCTTCAAGTCTTGTCACTTTTGACTGAGCAGTCAGTCCCCTTTTGGTTTTTTTTTTGGGGGGGGGTGTTTTGTTGTTTGTCTTTTGTTGTGGTTTGATTTTAAAATTTTCATTAGAGTATAGCTGATTCATAATGTTGTGTTATTTCTGCTGGTCAGCAAAGTGAATCAATCACACATACACACACCACTCTTTCTTAGATTCTTTTCTCATTTAGTCGTTACAGAGTACTGAGGAGAGTCCTTGTGCTACATGGCAGCTCCTTATTATTTATTTATTTTGCACACAGTAGTGTGTATCTGTCAACCCCAATCTCCCAGTTCACCCCCGTCTTCCTCTCCCTAGCCCTGGTGACCGTAACATTGCTGAGCAGTCTGTTCTTAGTCTAACAGCCTTGGGGAGAGTGAGGCAGCTTGATCACTCTCACTGAGCCTCTCTGCCAAGCTTGCAAAAGCTTAATAGACAGGCAGGCCGAAAACTGAGGAATATTTTCAAACAGAAAAATTTCAAACTGTATATGTATATGTACTTCCTTAAAGAAACCAACATTTGCTTATTCACAATGCCTAAGTCATAGTTTTTGAGGTCAAACATAGATCTACGGTTTTCTCAAAGAATTTCAGGGGAAAAAATCACACACACCTCTCTAAGACAATGACCAACACAATAGGCAAATGTCTTCAAAATAAACTGCTTCACTGACAAGACTATTTTACTAACCTAACAGTCATATAACACACTCAAACACATAGTAACTAGATAGGGTAATCCAATTTAATTTATGGTTTTTTATATTCAAAACAGCATACTACTAACCCCAAAAAAATCTATTTATATGCATTTCCCTCCTCTGTAAGTATGTGAACTAGACAAGCCTGAAGTGTAAAAGCCTTACTGGGAAAACTAACTGTAAGAAAAAAAGCTACTTACAAGCCTTAACTTACAGGGAGATTTTCTTAAGTATCCATTCATGTAATATCCATACCTTAATTATAAATTACTCTTTTTATTCATGAATTTAGGGTTCTTTAAAAACTCTAAGTAGGCAATACTTATTAGCTTTATGTTAGTAAATATGCACGTGAAAGTAATAACTATACTTTAAAAGTACTGTATTTTAACCATTGTCCTAATTACGTCAAATGAATGAGGTTTTTTTTTTCTGTCATACTATCATTTAAGAAGAAAGCTAAGCAATTAAATATTGCTTACTGAAATCTGCAAAGGTGAGAGAGATGGTTATGCATCCTTTAGGCTTACCGAGTTTCCATTTTGCTGACATGCACTAACTGCTTTCCTTTTCAAAACTCTTCCTCCCCTCATTATCCTACCTTCCAGAACCAGCCCTCTTACATAAGCTCAGATTCTTGAACTACAGAGAAGTGGTGATCTGACAAACCAACTACACTAAAGGGCTCATGTCTTCATGTATTAACTGGTCACAAAATAGTTGCATTTTAAAGACAAAAAGGAGAAGCCAAATATTAACTAAAATAATTAATTGATAACAACGGAATTTTAGGCATTGTTCCAAAAGAAACTTTGAGACTGGAGAAATTGTTTTCAACACTCTTTTTTCATTGTAAATTGTAACAGACCACCAGAAAAGAATATAACATACATATGTGAACTGTTTAACAAATTATTATAAAGTGAACCGCTACTAAACTACTTCTCATGTTGAGAAATAAAACATTAAGGGCAGTTTTCCTTCACTATACAAATCACTCCATGTGGGGCAGCTCTTTCTTTTAGAGAAGGGCAAACAGTTGTTTTCCATCTAAAATATCCAGAAACACAAATGGCCACATATATATTTCAAAAGATATTTATAATATACACAATTAAAATTACTAATAAAAGTGAATAAGGCCTCAAAATCTTAATAAAATGAAGGGCATATCACTGAGGCCCCGTGATTTCCAGCACAGTGTTTTATACATGGTGAGTATTCAGTAACGGTCTGTTATTATAGAGGATGTCTTTCTGTTTCTGCTATTTTTTCCCACTAGAAGGGAAAATTGAGGATAATAATGTTAGGTTTAAAAAGTGTCAAAACTAAGACAAAAAAAATCTGGATGGGGCAGGATGGAAAATGCAGGAGACGAGATGACATGCAGCCATACCCTACAAGCCTGGGCTACTTCTCAGGGCTTTACGGCAGCCTTCCGCTATAGCATGCTACTCTTTTCTAGTCTTTTAAAAGAAAGCAGCAGTTGACCTACAACAAAAGTCAGTTATCCACATATGATTACCAAGGCTCCTAAGTAAATCTGTATTTTGTTTTACATAACATATTAAGTCTAGCAAGGTCATTTAGAATTAGAAGCATCCAGTTCAACTTACATATCATTCACATAAAAAGACAAAGGCCTGGGACTTCCTTGGAAGTCAAGTGTTTAAGACTGTCGTTCCACTGCAGGGGGCATGATCCCGCATGCCACATGGTGTGGTAACCCCCCTCCCCCAAAAGACAAAGGGTTTTACTCATGAGACTGGTCACAGGTAGAAGAATAAGTTTATGAGGAGACTGCTACAGTTTATTAAGGAGCCAAATCTAGCTCATGATCTGTGACTGCTTTGTCTCTGGGCTGTTAAACGCTACAGCATGGCATGGGCCCACACGATTCCCTACGGGCC